GGAGGGGGGGGGGGGGAGGAGGGGGGGGGGGGGGGGGGGGGGGGGGGGGGGGGGGAGGAGGAGGAGGAGAAGGGGGACGACGGGGAGAGGGAGAAGGTGATGGCTTCAGCACATGGGAAGAGAAATTGGGACGCTCTTCACATGTCCGGCCATCAGCAAAGGTTGGAAAACAAGACACTTGCAGCGTTTCTTGCAAGCCCCGAACTAAAAAGAATACGCCCTCCCAAAAGTCGTTCTTGGCTTTGGCAGCCTTGACTTTTAAAACGGCGCCCCCGTGTTCAAAACAGGTCAGCCGGATTTCACTGCGAGGGCTAGGAATTGTGGCAAACCCAGATTCGAACAAACCATCCTGCTCTTTCCAAAACGTGTTCCAAACGCTTGGCGGAACGGAGCGGTTCATCTTTAGGATCCTGCCTATTCACGTAAAATTATTATATGCCAGTTGAGGATGGTTGGCCTCCTACTGCAGACAGGGCAACGGAAGCCGGGGAGCAACGGCTGGTCTCCCTTCCCAATTTCCCTTCCCTTCCCCTTCCTTCCGTATCCAGTGCTGGCCAAACCGTCTCCCATCAACGCCTAATGCTTTCTACAGAGGTTGCTGAGCCAGATGACTTTCCTCCTGAAACGCCACGTTCAGCTGCAGATCTGGCGCTACGGTGAAGGGTCGCCCTGGGCTCAGCTGCTGAGGCCTGATTGAAACGGATTGAAACTGGGCCATAAGAAAGAAGATCCAACTCACCATCAGCTCTAAGTAACTCATTCGTTCAGCGGGATTCTTCCTCAGACTGAAAAAGAAGACAGCCGGAACATCAGCCCCAATCCAAGCTTAAAGATTTCTCATTGGAACAACAGCAACCCCCATTGCTCTGCTCTTAACCGTGATCAGCTATTACGGCCTATTTCATCTTCCGCCGTGTCCGAATGTAAACACCCCTGGAGAATTCCAGACTATCAGGGCCACTCTCGTTGTTCTCCTTTGCTTTTAAAAATCCTACACTTCTGTTTTACCATTTGGGAGATTTTGGCAGGACATTCTCAGCCTACATTTCTTGGTCCACTGTGCAGAAAGCTTCTGCTTGCTGCTACCAGAACTGCAGAAAGTAAATCTGAAACGGTAGAGCAACCGCAGCTTCTTTTCAAGATATGGCGGAGGGCGGAATGACTCCATTTCTATTTGGGGGCCAACGGGAGCTCTTTCTTGCTCCCCCAATTCCCCAAGGCACACGAGAAATATTAGAATTTTGATCCAGACTGCGGCCACCCCAAGGGAGATGCGTGTTTCTTTTTAAATCAGGTTCGTGCAGCTCTAGATTGCAACGGGATGCGTGCCTTTCCACCACATGAAATGCAAACAGGGAGACCAGGCGCATCTTGGTGATGGAAAGTCACACAGAACAGCTGTTTGCAAGCAGTGAGTTGTAAAGCTGAGTTGTAAAGCCTGAGTTGGGAATGCCACAATTCCAGCTGTGCACCCAAACAGCAAGCAACGGTGGCGAGAAGCGATCCGTCTGCGAGTCAAGGAAAATGCAACGCTACGGCATTATAAAAACCATTGTTAAAAGTTTCTAGCCCTCGTGATTTAGTTTCTGGAGGGGCACAAATGGAAGGATTCTGAATGGGGATTCCACATCTTGTCTTAGTTTCTGAGCCTGTCCATGGTTTTAAAGCAAAACTCCTAAAAAGGCACACTCACGCCCACCAGAGATGGAGGATCAGAGTTGAAGGCCACATTTGGAGGGGATCCTGCTTGGGAAAAACTGTGTTCAGTTACTACACAAGGTAGCCGAACACCAAGGAACTTATCACATCCTTACCAACGTGAGTACAATTTTGGAGAAGAGAATTGTAGTTAAGGACCTTGATGTGATGCAGAACTAAATGTGGAATCTGCCATCTCACAAAAAGTTTAGGCTCCATCATGTGTGGGGCGCAGAGATAGCAGAATTTTACATACGTGGAAAAAAATGCACCCTCCTGATTTTGAGGAATGGATCCAAGTTACGAGTCTCTTATCTATTTTTCAAAAGTCTCTGGGTCCTAAATATGAGAAGATGAAGCCTTACATTTCTTTATGGGATTTAATTATAAGCTTCAGGAATGAATAAATTCCACATGGATACCAATGGATATTACACGGACGTTTTCTCTCTTTTCTTCCCATTAATTGCCCTTTTATCCTCTCTTCTGCCATGCTGAATTTATTTCAATGTTGTTAACTGGGTCATTTTCTCCTCTTCTTCACTGCATACCCAATCTTTCTCTTCTTCTCCTTCCCCCCCACCATTCGTGCTGTAGTTTTCTATTTCCCCATTTAAAAGAAAAATAAAATAAATGCCACGCAGAGGAATTTACCACTGGGCGGTGAAGTCGACAAAGTCTCTGGAGAAGCGATCGGCTGGGAGCTGAGGTGATGGTTCTTCCACTACCTGCTTAAGCTGCTGGAAGGGGGTCCCCCAGGAGTCGTAGGGGAAACGGAGAATGGCCATCTCGATCTGGAGGGAGACAGAGATTGGATTTGTCCAGCATCTGGCTTCCTACAACGGCAGGGGAGATGGTGGAAGGAACCTGCAAGTGGGACCCGATCTGAGAAGACTCCCCAGGCTGCCGTTGCCTGACCTGATGTTGCCTCCAGATGTGCTGGAACATCAACTCCCAGATTGCCCCTCTGCAGTCACACCTGGAGGGCAGCTACATTGCCCCTTGCAACGGGGTGACTCTTATCCCTCTGAACTGCTATACTCTCTTCTTAAAGCCATTTCAGTAGGGGAATCATTGCCATTTCCTGCGCTCAGGAATCCCTCTGGATCCTCTAAAATCCGTTTTGTTGGGAGACCCATAAGCTCTACGAAAGGCGACCCAGAACGTGGAATGACATTGGTCTACTTCTCAGAGGCCTCTCTCTTTCCCTATCCTGTCCCCCCCCCCCAAAAAAAATCTGCACGGATGTGTCAAAGAGGTTGTCAAGTTTGACTCAACCTTTACTTTATTATTTATTTCGGCCCCCTCCAAACCGCGGCTTTTCAGAAAGCCTAGCCTGCAGCTGCCATTGCAACCGGGGACAAGGAGTTCCACCCGCGGGGCGAAACACGTTTCTAAACTTATCTGCATTTGCACGAGATGCTCTTCTTTATCCAGGGGTAAGAAGGGGTGGGGGGGGAAATAAAAGAGAAATAGACAAGAAGGAAGAAAGATACAAAGAAGTAGCTTCTGATCTTCCTTACAGCAGTTGTAAGTACAAGTTTATCTATGTTTTTGGCGGACTGGCAACGCTTTATAGACTTTTTGCGTGAAACAGGAAAAAAAATGAACATATGATTCTGATGATTAGACAGGATAGATTATAGAAAGAAGATTTATAGATTTATAGATTATAGATTTATAGATTATAGAAAGAAGAGTTATGTTGTAACTATAGAGCGGTGTTTCTCAACCTTAGTGACTTTAAGATGGGTGGACTTCCGCCCATCTTAAAGTCAAGTTGAGAAAGACTGCCATAGAGTAAGAGGTAAATTTACAAAGGAGGTTCTTCCTTATCCGTGTCTTCCACTGATCATATAAGAGTTGTTGTTACTGTTATTATTATAATTATTATCCTTATAATCTGTACTATATAGCCACAGCAGAGCACCTATCCGGTCTTCACGCTCTGCGGCTTGCCGGCCACCAAGATCTCCTTGATTTCTTACCAAAGTGATCCCAAGACTCCACACGTCTGATTTCACATTGTACCCCTTCTGGTTCAGCTCAGGGTTTATTCTTTCTGGCTGCAAAACAGAAAAGGGAGAATTCGAATGGTGGGCGCCGCCCAGAGTCAGAGAGTGGAACAGGCAGCTCTGTACATTTAATCAATTGAATAAACCAACTCAGTCGAAGTTGTTGGGAGCCGTGCGGGTCCTGGAGGAATACCTGCACTCATCGTGGCCAAAAAATTCCTCCAGAGACCTTAGGGCAATCAGAAGGCTCTAGTCTGACCCTACCTCGAGGGTGGTTGTGAATTTTGGGAGGATAGAATTGAGCCAATGGACAGCTTGCAGGGATTGGGGTAGATAGAGCAGAATATAGCCATAATAAACTATAATAAACCAGCACACAACCACCTTTGCCGTCATGTTAGTCTGCAAGGTTCGTTGTACTTTCAGTCAAACCCCTGATGGATGGACAGACAGACAGACACAGACAGAGGGACAGACATGGACTTATAGGATGCTCCAATCAACCATCTCTGTGCAATGTACAGCTCCCAAATTGCTAATCAGGGATTAAAAACCGAATGATAAATAATCAATTTTAAAACTAAAACCATACCTTGCAAATAACCATCTGAAAGCCGGGAATCAACATTCCATACAATAAAACTAATTCATTGTCCAGAGAGTCCTCTATTTCCCCCTGGACCTGAAGCCTTGGTGAAATAACCATGTTTTCCACAATTTTCTGAAAAACCGGAGGGAAATGGCCCTCGTCTTCCCTTCCTCTTCCATTCAAGGCTCCTTGTTTGTTTAAACGAAACCCCAGAAAATCCAAAACAGTTCCTTGAACAAGTTGATGGGAATTAAATGTGGCTCAGAAATAATGGCCCTTTGCGTTTCCTTCTGTTTTGGAGAGCCAATTTGGGGGTTCACAGCACTGGGGGTGGCTGGTGGCCCGAGGATGTTCTAGGCGCCTTTTCCATCTGCACTGTAGTTTTAACTTTTTAAGTTTAATTTTAACTTTTGGTTGTCTTTAACCTGCATATTTTTTCTAGAATTTATAGTTTTGTTTTTTACTTGTAATGCCGCCTAGAGTCCCTTGTGTAGCGAGCTGGGCGGCATATATAAATTTGAAAAAGAGATAAAAATAAGTAAATAAATTCTCTGGCAGGGAAGCAAATTAGAATCAGAGGAAAGGAGGAGACTAGGAGAAAAGGACGGGAGACTTCTCCCACCAACAGACCCTCCCCACGCCTCTCATTGACCCCACACTCACAGCCATATAAGGTTTGCAGCCGGCATCCAGAGTTTTCGCCACCGAATCCACCAAGTAACCGCTGATTCCAAAATCGCACATTTTCACATGCCCCTGTTTGTTGATCAAGACGTTGGATGGCTTCACATCTGCGGGTGGAGAAGGGAAACGGGGCAGACTCACTTTTATATTACTTTTTAATTTTTCTATCAACCTCTTTTATTCCTGGTGGTGGAAATATTCTGACCCTGAAAGGCACCATTTGAACAGAATTTAGATTTTTACCTAAAGACTTCTGAGATTGGTCGGAACTTAATAGAAATGTCTCAACCTTGAAAGAGGCCATCCCAACCTCCGTTCATGAACATGGTTTGTTTCGAGGTCAGAAGACTTACAGGATGGCCAAAACTCCACGTCAACCATAAAACATTTTGCACCTGTATACTGTATGCAAGGGTATACAGGTAGTCCTCACTTACCAACCACTCATTCAGCAACCATCCAAAGTTACAACGGTGCTGAAAATTTTTACAACCATTATGACCTTCCAGTGTTCCTCAGTCACATGATCACCATTAGAATCAGTACATGTTGTCCTGTGCCTGATCTGTTGTTTTTCCTTTTTTCCCCCTTGCAGAGTGGAGAGATTGGAGAGGAAGGGATTACAAGAGAGCAAGCAAGCAGGGGGAATACACTGGCTGTTTGCCGAGTGTGCTTGCGGCTGCTGGCACCAGCGCATTGCTTTTGATGTGTATTCCCCATGGGGTGCCTGCTTACTCTCTTGTAATCCCTTCCTCTCCAATGAACATAAATACAAACATTAATTCCCTTCTGATTAATTATCCAGGACTGGAGTGAGCACTCCAAAGGGCATGAGAGCTGTTAGGAGGCAAACCAAAGCTGAAGGTATGAAACTGATTAGTCTTGTCAATTTTGAGCCAGAAAACACAGTAGCTGTCACATGATTTCCCACTGAGCGACCGCTTCGCTTAGTGGCAGAGTTGCCAGTCTCACTTGCGGTTGCTAAACAAGGACGACCTTGTGGCTTAAGGAAGATATCTAATGCTTGAAGCTAGAACCCATCTGTGTTATTAACCCTGAGCTGCTTTTCCTGTCACCCTGAAAGGATTTTGACCAGACACTTACCTCTGTGAATCACCGAGAGTTTACTGTGGAGATGCTCCAGTGCTCGCACAATCTGGGCAGGAGGGGAAGAAACAGGAAGCGCCAGTTAGTTGTGGGACGCTCGCACAACTACATGTTCTCTGGCTGCTGTATGGAACAGCAGCTCGTAAACCGTCTGACCCAATTATCCCTTTTCCTGGTCTCAAATACCACTACAAAAACCCCAAACTCTGTTGTTTTACACAAGCATATCAGCAGCCCCACACCAGATCTTTGATTCACAAGCAAACAATTACGAATTGCTGTAATACCCCTGGATATGCCCAAAGTACTCCTTTGGGGGTAATTACCCCCAGTTTAAGAACCACTAGTATGGAGGAATAGCTGAGCTGTATGAAGGGGCTTTAAGTCTTCCATCTGCATGGTTGCTTATAGTCAACAACAACTTGATGACACATAATCAATCAATCAATCAATCAATCAATTCCCCCATATCAAGGTTTGGAGGAAACTAATCTAACCAAACCTTCCACTGGGATCTGGTATATCTTTTTCCTCCAATTAGTTTCAAGGACACATTCAGAAGTTTTCATTTCCATTTTAATTAAGCCAAGTTTTTTTCGGTTGTCTGAACCAGGACCCAATGGTAGGGATGTTGAGCATGGAAACATGCAAGCTTCAAGGTGCTGTTTTTGAAGCTCAGGTTTCTACTGACTGCAGTGAAACTAGGGTTTGGTTAACACACCGGACTGTGGAGAATCTAGTAATGGAAGAGAGTGTTTTTATTCCCATTCCAGGAAGGAAAGAGGGAATATTATTTGCCAGCTAGATTTATAATCCTGAATTATAATTCAGCTTTGCATCTGAACGTGGGCTACTATGTCATTCAAGATAACACTCACAGACACGGCTATTTTTCCCAGGATATCTTCAGGGATGGTCTTCTTCTTCTCCAGAACCTTCTTATAAAATTTATCCAGAGATGTGTCCATCAACTCCATGCAGATCCACACATCACCCTGAGAATCCAGCAAAGGCAGAGAAGAGATTTTATTCCTCTCTTAATTTTGTTTCAAAAATCTTAAGTCACTTCTCCCCTCAGTTCAGACGACTCATCCCATTGCTATTTAGAAAGCGGAATTATGCTTTGAAATTGGAAATGACACTTTGGGGTGACCCGCAGGCGAGTTGATACTCGAGTGACAAGGCAACAATCCCATTGTTTGGGCTCCCAGATCACAACAAGAGAGCTAAGTATCAGCTCTTACAGAAAAACAGGGCTGAACAACATGTTTCTGCCCATGTCTTCTGGACTACAAGCCTAGCCTGAAGCTTCAATGCTCATGGTCTTTGGAACTAGTAGTCCAAAGCAACTGGAGGAGAAAACTATGATCTCCTCCATAGCTCGTCTTAATTGCCTGGCAGTTCAAGCCACAACCAGGGTTCTAAACTGACAGTACTGCAAACCATGGTTGGATATGATGTTTGGCTTGTTCACTGTAGGAAGCCATGGTGATGACCTTGGAGAAACCATCCAGAAACCATTAAGGTGCTGAAGCATGTGCTGACCCCAAAGGATAAGAAAGGGACTCAGACTGGCTCCCTTGGAGTATAACAGGAAGGGAAGGGGGAAAAAACAAGATTCTGTTACTCCAGCCCAGTGTTTCTCAGCCTTA